CTACATTTATTGATAAATATTATAAATATGATAATATACATGAGGTTAGCTGAAGGTTTTCAAGTGACAATTAGAGGAAGTTTTTGTTGTTCTTTCTATCACTGTGACTCTCGCGCACAATAATACACAGCTGTGTCCTCAGTTTTCAGCTGGTTCATTTGGAGATAAATTTTACTACTGGAGTCGTCTCTAGAGATGATGAATCTTCCTTGGACTGACTGAGAGTAATGTATTGGAGAACTGGATGGGCCTATATATGCGATCCATTCCAGTCCTTTTCCAGGAGCCTGTCTGATCCAGGCCATGTAGTAGCTACTTAATATGAATCCAGAGGCTGTACAGCTCAGTTTGTGGGAGTCTCCTGGTCTTTTTAGCGCTGGTTCAGATTCTGTCAGAGTCTGACCATTAGCACCTAAAGCAACATAATCAGTAAGTTTGGCTTATGATAAGTGATGGTTTTAATGAGATTATATTTAGATTTTTTATTATGTTCTCACCCACAAAGCAGATGAATAAAGCAAGCAGTGCTGATCTGAAGTCCATCATGGTCCAATATGCTTCTTGTTCTGTGACAACAGAAGAAGGAGCATAATTATGGCTGCATGTTACTATTGTTTTGCATTGACTCCTCCTGCCTGTGAGGGAAGGAGGGAAATAAGATCTAGATTTCAAAATGTGTACAGTTATGAGGATAATTGAAAAACACAAAAAAGAACCAAAAGAAATGACCTGATTTGAAATGATGGACCTTAAAATAAAGAGACAATCTTACATATAGAGATTGTTTCAAGCCATATTTAATTAAAATAAACATTGTGAGTGACCTCAAAGATTAATTGTCACTTCTGTAGGAGGATAAAAGGAGAAGTCTTTTATTGCACTTCACAAGAAATGACTCCTCTTAAACTCAACCATTTCAGGTATTTTTCATATTTACAGTGAGATTTTGAAAAAGGTTAATTTCCCCTTGAAGCACTACTCAGTCACTCATTCTGCTGCCAGCACTGCCACCAACTGGTGAAAGAGAAAAATATCCTCTGTAGGGTTTTGCTTAGTTTCTTCACCTCATTAGACCTGTCACTCTCTGGCACAGGAATACAAAGCAGAGTCATTTTGCCTTAAGCTGGGCTTTCTCATATACACCAGGCTGCTGCTGTTATCTCTGCTGATTTCTACAAACTTTAGTATCTGTAACGGGTAATAGTGAATGTAGTTTAAAGTCAAGTCAAAGCACTTTATAAGTACAGGCCAGTAACTTTAAAAAACACATTTTTTAGCTCCCTCATCAGTCACAATGTTTTATTTTATTTCCTCATTACCAAATTTGGGGAATTTGAATATTTCACATATGACAACATGATTTGTTCCGTTCCCAAATAACTCAAATATGCATAAACAATTTTTTAATCTTAATGAAGGCTGTAAAACTTGTTAACAATAGTCATAGATTATTAATAATAAAAGAATCCATATTAATTTAAATATTAAAAAGCAAAGATTTGTATAATGTTGTGTAGGAAAATTCTTGAAACATTTTGGAAATTTATGATATTCTTATTAATAATAAACAAGTTCCAGATAAAAATGTATATCTTCAGAATACATTGGAAATATTTTCTAATTATTTGTAACAAAATATTTTGGCAAAGCAGCTAATATATAATAATCATAATTAGTGTTGCACCGATACCGCTTCCAGTATCAGGCAGGGCCCTGATCCTGCACTAAAATGGTGACAAATACCAGCAAATAGGTCACCGATACCATTTTGAGAGCCAAAGTCTATTCAGCTATTGTCACCCATTCCAGGTAGGCAACAAAACTTTCTACTGGATTTACTTTGTGTTAGACTTTTTCCTGATACACAAAGATAGGCAGCAGCTTGACAAAGCCATGATGGCAATTATTTTACATCCATCTAGTATGCAGTTCTTCACATATACACACACACATCGATTTCCAACAGATGGTATCAGTATCGGCAATACTGAGCAGCCAGGTATCGAGTATCAGTATGAGGGCCAAAAAATGGCATTGGCACTAATGATAATCATATTACACAACCTAAAATCAAAATATATATTTTTTCATACAGTTCCATCCATATGTACACATGGATACTGAAGATGAGCTGTTTGCCTTAGACTGCTGCAAGTCAAGATGATTAACAGATTAGTACTAACTTATGATGATCAACTTGTCCCCATTGAGTAAAAGAATCATTTTTTGTAAAGTTTTAAGGATGAATTAAATATGTAGTTCTATTGGTTCCCTCACAGATTTGTTTCTTGACGTTGCAACACGCTTTTATTACTGAATGATGATAAATTCATTTAGACCTTTTTTGTAAATACTGGGTTTGTTATTGTCTTTCAGTTTCAGTGTTTTAGTGCAGTCTTGGGATCCTTGAGGTTTTTGTACAGCTGCTTAACCAACTTCAGTCAGTGTGCCTCTCGAGCACAGTAATAAACAGCAGAATCTTCTGTTCTCAGGTTGTTCATCTGCAGATACACCTGCTGTTTGCTGTTGTCTCTGGAGATGGTAAACCGGCCTTGGAATGCTTGAGAGTAGTCGATGTTTGAGCTGTCATAAATACCAGCTACCCATTCCAGTCCTTTCCCAGGAGCCTGTCTGATCCAGTGTATCCAGTAGCTGCTAAATGTGAATCCAGAGGCCGTGCAGGTCAGCATATGAGAGTCTCCAGGATTTTTAACCACTGACTCAGATTCTTTCAGAGTCTGAGCTTCAACACCTGTGAAGCAAGAAAGCAAAAGTATATCTGTTATTAAAAGATTGTTTCTAAAACACAGATACATGTTTTCCCAGCAGTTTCTCACCCATAAAACAAAGGACAAAAATAAACAGCCCTGATCTGCTCTCCATCATGTTCTAATGTGTCTCTTCTTCTCTGACAGACTTTTGGTTCCTCTACTTATAATGAAATGTATTTAGTTTTGCATCGACTCCTCCTGCCATTGGGGGAGGAAACTAAACAGACTCTTTATTAGTTTAACTCTTCTCAAATGTCAGCATTTCAAATAACATTTAATTATTCTATTTAAATTGTGTTATATTCAATTATATTGGTAAACTGAGTTATGTTGTTGAACCATTTTATTATTCATTTTACATGCAAACCATTTTATTATTCATTTTACATGCAAGTTCTTATACAGTAATTTATTTTCAAGACCATGGTTAATTAATAGGGGGAAAAGCTTTGCCAAAGTATATTTAAACTATGAAAAGTTTTAAAAGCAACCATTTGGGCTGAATTGAAATAATAATTAGAATCTACAAAAACTTTACTAAGGCATGCTTAGAGTTTAGCTAACAGCTTTAAAGATTAATACATATGGATGGTTTAATCATGTTGAGCACAGAGGATAGTCAGATACTTTGGCTATAAACTGAAAAATAAACTACATAATAAACAGAGAATAAGATCTTTGAAGAGGAGGAGGCTGTAGACATGTACAGTATAATAAAATGAAAGAAGATTACATCTCAACATCTTCATTTTTAAGCATTTTAGAGGCAAAATGTTAAAACTGGTTTTCTTAGGTTTTCTAGAAGTGATTCAGTATCCCCTGAGTCAAATGCTTTTAAAAGATTCACAAATAAAGCAAAAACACAGTTTTTTTCAAAGGCACCATTACAGTCTCTTCTTAGTCATTGTAGTGCTCATACGGATGTAGCTTATCTTAAACTAGTCTAAAACTTCTGTTCAAACATTAAAAAATAATAATATTCATGTTATCTTTCAAATTTTTATTTCTACTTTGTTCATATCAATCTAATAATGATCAAAAACTGTTAGTAATAAGAAGAAAGCCAAACCACAGGCTTCTGTCAAAGAGAGCAACAGGTCATGCTGATGTTCTGAGTGTTACTCTTTTAATGGTTAGCCTTCATTTTCTATTTATTAAGAATGATAAGATTTGCATATTTGATAGTTTGATTTTGCATAATAGATATTATTAGGTAATTAAATTGCTTTCTTCCTTCATAATGTTCTAGATTCATTGATATGTATGAAGACTTAATTTTTTTGTGACTTAGTTGTAGTGTTGTATATTTACAAGACGGGGTCAATCTTTTAAATAATCATGGTAGATCTTAACTAAAACACAAATGTTTAGATGAGATAAAGAACCCTTATAAAGAACTCTTATTTATACTCAAAGTAAATTTCAAATTAAATCCCTTCCTACACTTTATTTGGTCCTACAGATCTTGCTCTACTGTAATTTTGTTAACTTGTTTTGCACATGCTACTAGTCAGAGATGCTTCAGTTGTAATAGTAAATCTACTTTGAATGAACCACTTCTTTTCTATTAAAATTTTGATATTTCTATTACTGCAGTTGTGAACTAAATATTATTATCTCCTGCATAAAGCTTTGCTAGATGATGTAATTAAATCTTAATCTTTCTGTATTTCAAAATGACATTATCTTATTTTTCATAATTTATGACATTCCAAATCTATATTTATTGTTTGAAGTTTTTTTTCAGTGTGTTTTTGCCACTGTGGTCTTTATCTAAAATATAACCAGGATCAGGTTAGCTGAAGGTTTCTAGAGGAAATGGCAAGTACTGTAGAGGAAGTTTTTGTATGAGCCTCCTGCTTCTTTCTATCACTGTGCCCTTCGAGCACAGTAATACACAGCTGTGTCCTCAGTTTTCAGCTGGTTCATTTG